CTGCAGCTCCTCATGTCTTTGATCGTCATCAAGGACTTGCAAGTCCTCCAAAGTTTTGCCAAGAATTGAATTTGTTAAAATGTGTAAGGCTGTCTGGACCACATCCTCGGATTGTAAGGGGTCAGTGTTTCCCTCTCCGTCCGCCATTATCTGCTATTTAGAAATTAAATAGTAGATGTAAATGTTTAGGTGGTAAAATAAAATCAGAAAATCTCCTTTTCCTGATAAGCTTTACTCTTATTTAGTGATTTTGCAATTAAACGTGTATTATCCTTCAAGCAAAATGAGTAAACTGTTCAACTCTGTGAATATTTGTAACTGTATCTGTTTTTTAAAAAGTTTCTAATTTTATTATGGACCTGTTTTAAGGATTTATCAGTGAATAAAATTTTTTGGTAAATGCTTCTTTGCATAAATACCTATTACTTTTTTAAAATGTAAGATAACAGTGTTTTATTCAGCTATGAGGAAGTTTTTAAACTCCAAAATTGCCTTTCAGGAAAATAAAAACGTTTAATGTCACTCTTCACCTAAAAACGAAGTGAAAACCTGTGATCCCACGTCTTCTCCACAAGATGTCAGCAGATCCTCAACAATTCTAACTCAGACCCTGTTTGTGTCGTCCACTAGGGGTGCTATAACTTCCTGTGGCGTCCGGTCGTTAGCTTATTAGCTAAAATTAGCATCGGCTTGCTTCGGTGAAAACCAACACTTCTGAACGGATTTTTTACACAAACGTGGCAAACTTTCAGCGAATATGCTTCGAATGAATGTAAACAGCGTTTCAGAACACAGCTTTAATGCGCTTTCCAGCGTTAAAAAGCAGATTTTATTCCTTATGAAAACGAGTCTTCATTTCCGGGTGACGTGATTGACACTTCCCTCAGCCAATGAGAACGTTACACACGGTCTTTCTCAACCAATGACGCAGCGTAGGGGTGAGGGGAGGTGACGTCAGTCAACCTTTCTCAGCAAATCAGAGCTTTCCAAAGCAGCAAACAACCAACCACGAAGCGTATTCCCCAGCTAGCAAGTTAGATTAGCGTAAAATAGTTCGTCACTTTTTCGTCTTTTAAACCATCAAAATGCACTTTTTCTGTTAAAAATTGTAACGAAACAACCCCCTGAGCTGCACAGAGAACGGCGCTCCGTGACAAAACGTCTTTCTAGCTATTTAAAACAACTCGTTCGAAGCTCCAGAACCGAGTCGGAACCACAGAACCGAAGCGGACCAGAAGCGTCCGGAACACAGTTTAAACAGAATGAAACGTTTCCACAGCTCAAAGCCAGCGTAAGTTACACATACAGACGTACAATTCAGCTTTATAAAGACTTGTGACTCAATTTCAGCTTCTCTGTGAGCTTTCTGAGCATCACAGACCAACACGCTTAAAAACATGCAGCATTTCGCTTCAGGCGGTGCAGCTCCAAGCGCGCAGCTCCGGCTGCGTAAAGACGCACGGTTCAACTGTTATTTTATAACACATGCCAACATGAAAATCAATTAGCACACTAGTTACAGTCCATTTATGAGCACGTGACGGGCCACCAGTTGTAGATGAACAGATGCTGGGATATATTCATCATTTAACGCGAGTTCCTCATTTTTCTGGACTGAATAAAACGTGCATTGAATTTAAGGAAATGCAAACGTGAGACGTCATTTAGATTTGACCCATCAAAATGAATGCGGTCATTTATTTACAGAATCAAATTTAACATCAAACATGTACATTAATTTGGCAAATTATGAATATAACAACAAAGCAATCAATCAGGAAAAATCATACGGCCATGATTTTTCCGTTGCTGCACCACAGACATTTATAAAACTGTACAACTATGATCTTTTGCCCACATGAATGTGGGTGAGCATTTTACACAGACATTTCTAAATATCTGGAAGAATTTCTACTTGATAGAAAAGTTTAAAGATGGGAAGAAGTTTAGAGGGAGTTAAGATTGAATGGGAGGGGAGGAATGTTCGCCAGAACCGACACTCTCCATCAGAAGCCCAGCTCGCCTCGGTACGCTTGGTAGGAAACTTGACCCATTACCTCTCTGATGATAATCAGCAGATATGGTGTTCCGTTAACGCTACCGGTCCAGCGTCTCCTTAGAATGGCTGTTGCCCGTCAGAAGTAGTGGCGAGGCTCTGTTCGACACATATTCACCTCAGTGGAAAATGTTATAATCCCATGGAACTCGGAAGAGCTTCGTTGTCATGTCAGGAACTCCAACAGCACTCCATCAGAACTCCAGAACTCTAGAAGTCTGACAACTCTCCAACTCTGAGTACCTGTGTGTCTCTCCGTGTCCCTGTGAGTCTCTGAGTCTCTGTGAGTCTGTGAGCATACCTGTGAGACTGTCTAGACCAGGAAGTACTGACATTTTAAAGACTCTTTCCCGGTTCACTTTTTGGGATTTTTCATTGGTCAGAAACGACCAGAAGGGGTGTGTTTTTGTGACGTAAGAGGTTAGAGACAGCGAGAATTGTTATGAGACAGCTCAGAAATGTTCTCACAGACCGAGAGGGTTCTGTTTTGGCGTGCCTTAAGAAACAGGTGCAAAACATCTCTATTTACGTCTGAGAGGATTCTAAAACATGACAGTTTTAACATAACAACTTGTTTTTCGTTTGACTGTAACCTTGTAAACGCACACACTTGCTCATTCAAAAGCAGAAATCAGAAAAATGCATAATTACTCTGCACAGCTTTTAACATGAGAATAAAATCATTACTCAGTTAATAAAATTGATTAGTTCACTGCAACATCTAAAATGGTTTGAACTAAGACACTTTGATTATCAACATTTGTAAGATAGTAATGATAATAAAAAGAGAGTGTTCTTTTCACTTGAATCTTCAAGAAAGAAAGTCTCAGGATGGGTGAACCTGTATTTATGGAGTCAAATACATGAAATGACAGCTTCTGTCCCACAAGGTTCTAAAGGTCAAGAGTTTTGACCTTAGACTGGGTTTCGACGTAGGCTTAGTCCACTACATTCCTGATAAGAGCTGAGCTGCAGCATTTTGGACGAGCTGGAGACGTGAAAGAGTGACCTGACTGACCCCAGCATAAAGTGCTTTATAGTAGTCCAGCCGGGTTGTAATGAATGCATGAACAATTTTTTCAAGGTCAGATCTGGTCAACACTGACTTGAGTTTAGCTATCTGCCTTAACTGGAAGAAACGTTTCTGTGGAACAGAGATAATCTGTTTATTAAACTTAAAGTCAGAGTCAAAAAAACATCCTGAGATTCATAGCAGACTTAAGATATGGCTCAAGAGAGGCAAGATTTACAGGATCAGAGACAGCAGTAGAGCTAGGGTTAAACATAGTAACTTTGGTTTTCTGATCATTAAAACAAAAAAATTTGAAGCCATCCATGCCTTTATGTCATCAAGTAATTTTAACAGAGGGCGAATGGAGCAAGAACTGTTGGGTTTTAATGGCAGACAAATCTGACAATCATCAGCATAACAATGAAATGAAAGACCATGTTTCTTCAGGATAGACCCCAGAGGGAGCAGATAGAGTGAAAACAGAAGGGTTCCAAGAATCGAGCCCTGTGGGACCCCACAGAACAGAGGCACTGATGCAGATACACTATTTCCAACCTTAACACAGAAACTCCTGTCACTCAGGTAAGAATGGAAACATTCCAATGCCGCACCAGTAATCCCAACCCAGTGTTCTAACCTTGATATACGGATACTGTGGTGAACAGTATCAAAAGCAGCAGTAAGGTCCAGGAGTACAAGTATCACAAACTGACCAGAATCATTTGTTAATGTCATTACAAATCCTAACTAAAGCTGTTCCGGTGCTGTGTAATTGTTTAAAACCACAAAGCACTCATCCTTGTCCTTTGTTTTGTTGCCTTGACCAGCACAGACTTGGAAATGTTCCTTTAACGGGAGTCTATTTTAATTTTAAATAAAAAGTTGTAGTTGAGTCTAAAAGCCTGATGTGATGTGGGACAGAACTGCTTCCTGTTGAGAGTGTCGTCTAATCACAGCTGAACAGCAGCCGATGCAGCCTGCAGGAGGTAAAATCTCATCTTCTCTTTCACAAAATCCAAGTGACAGCTTCAGTTTGTTCAACATAAAGCCACTGCTGTCAAATTTTAGAAAAATTGTCAGAAATTTAAGCAGTTGTTCAGCCAATTCAGAAATAAGTTTACACGTAAAAGTATAAATAACTAATCTTATCTGTTGTAGATCCCTAACAGCTAGTCTGAATCCAGCCAAGCGCACCATGGGTTGCTGTTGTCTTAAAACAGCTCCAGTCTCAACAGTTTGAGTGTGCGTCATGCCATGTGTTATAAATCTTTACGCTGCCGTCACTTTAACTTTCAACTGTTATTTACATGTAGTTCTGAGGTTAAATGCAAATGTAAAAAGTTCCAGATAAAGCAAGACGTAGCACCAGAGGAGCATCCATGCCCTGCAGGAATTTCATCAGACTTCTGGAGAAATTACAGCGTAATGCAAAATTGACAGTGTTGTCAAAGTTTACAAATTATCACTCACTTGAAATAAGATTTTCAAGATTAAATTTAATATGTTAAAATCCATTTTGACAACGGGTTCATTGAGACGAGCTAATTAGAGCCGTCTTCAATCTGTAAAGTTTCCTCATGGTCCATGTAAATGCTATTTTTTAACCTTTATAAAACAGTAGATTTTGTACTACGCGGCTATTTTGTCAAAAATCTTGTGAAATTCCTGACTATCTGTTCAAGACCAACTTTGGTCTTGGTTGCGTTCAGACTAGCTGTTAGCTCATCATTCCTGTCAGAATGAAAGTGCCTCTCCAAACTGACGTTCCTGTTCCGGTGTTTTCTTATTTTAATTTAGACCACAAATACGCAAAAAAAGGGAAAAGATTTTAAAATTATGCTAGCAGCATGCAAACAGGCTCATGTTAATACTGTATGTTGTGTACCTGCCTGACAGTCTTCACCACTTCCCGATGTTTTCCTCAATTCTTACCATTAAACGAGGTGTTTCTGAAGTAATTTACGTTCATGAAGTCCATTCCGTGAATTTCCGACTGATTCGTCTCAGCGATTTCTCTCATCACATGGCCGATACGCAGCACAGCGTCATGGTACGCAGCCATGTAGTCATTCATCTGCAAAGACATTTTATGAGTCCCAAGTTATGAGTCCCAATAAAACACTAATAAATTAGCAATGCTTTACTATTACCTTTTCAGGCAAACATAAAGAGAAGACAACAGAGGGATCGTTACATCCTGCGTTCTTACTGTGTTGTTGTCGTTCAGGTCTGAGTTGATGGCGTACTTTCTGGTGTCGGGCATGGTCAACACCAGCACATTCCTCATCTCTGGCAGTGATGACGTGTTGGTGTAGTATATATCACTGAGGAGAGGGGGGACACAGTCAAGTTTTACATGTAACAAAAACATCTTTCCACCTGGATGACCCTTGATTTTTTGCTTTTATACTCAGACAGACAGAGGTTGTGGTTTTTGGACCTGAGCATCTTAGGTCAAACTTTGCAGCCTTTCCCTTCCTCTGGACGGTGTTAATCTGGCCTCCAGCTCTAATGTTAAAAATCTTGATGCTATTTTTGATCAGGACATGCATTTTACCTCCTCACTTTGTTAAAAAGTTACCAGGACTGCTTTCTTCCACTATCGCTAAAATTAGAAACATCTTATCTAAAAATGATGTTGGTCCATGCATTTGTCACGTCTAGACTGGACTATTACAATGGTTTGTTATCTGGGTGTCCAAAAACTTCTTTAAAAAGTTTATTCAAAAATGCTGCTACCAGAGTCTTAACTGGAGTTAGTGGGAAAGATCATAGCTCTACAGTTTTAGCTCCTCTCCATTGGCTCCCTGTCAAATCCACAATTGAATTCAAAATCTTACTTCTAACCTACAAAGCTCTCGACAACCTAGCTCCATCTTATATTACAGATCTTATTGTTCCATATTTTTCTAACAGAGCACTTCGCTCTCATACTGCAGGTTTACTTGAGGTTCCTAGAGTTTCCAAAAGCAGAATGGGAGGAAGATCTTTCAGTTATCAGGCTCCTCTCTTGTGGAACCAACTTCCAGTTTCTGTCCATGAGGCTGACACACAGTGCAGTTGGACTTAAGACTTTCCATCCATCCATCCATCCATCCATCCATCCATCCATCCATCCATCCATCGATTATCTTTTACCCACTTATTCCTTTATGGGTCGCAGGGGTCACTGGTGCCCATGTCCAGTAATCACTTTGCAAGAGGCGAGGGACACTGGACAGGTCTCCAGTCCATCACAGGGACACATAGAGACAGACGAGACAAACAACCATTCACTCTCACACCTAGGGACAATTTAAATGGACTGTACTTAAATAGCACCTTTCTATCTTATCAAGATACTCAAAGCTCTTTACACTAAAATACCCTCATTTACCCGTTCATACAGCACTCTACTAGAGCTATACATTTTTTATTTATTAATTAATTTATTAACCTTTTTTTAACCAGGCAAATCTCAATGAGATCACCAATCTTTTTTGCAAGGGAGGCCTGCTGCTTTAGAGCCGCTTTTCACTTCCAGTAGGTTCATCGATGAGCCGCAAATGATGAACACTGTGAACACAAAGACTAATCAGTGCTTTGTCACATTCATTTACACCAATGGGACACACATCGGAGACAGTGAGGGGTTCATTGTTTTGCCCAGGGACACTTGGCATATGACTGCTGGTGGAATCAAACCCCCAGCTCTTGCATTGGAGGACGACTGCTCTAACCGCTCATCCACAGCTGCCCCCTAATTTAGAGTGTGCAATCAGTCTAACATACATGTTTTTGGTCTGTGGCAGGAAACCAGAGAACCTGGAGAAAACCCAAGCAACACGGAGAGAACATACAAACTCCACCCAGAAAGGCCCCCAGCCGAGATTTGAACAAGGGTAACCTGCTCACGGAGAGGCGGCAGCTCTACCAACTGCGCCACCGTGCTGCCTGGCTTAAGTCTTTACTTTTTGATAAATCCTATAGTTGTGGTTAGTTTGGATTTACTGAGCTGTCTCTTAGATGTGCTGCTATAGGCTTCGACTGCTGGAGGACAAATTGACCTCATTCCCTTGAATGAACTGTTACAATTGAATAGTTTTCATTTGATACTATTTCTATCTTAACATGTGATTCTTGACCTGCCATTGTGTATCTGTTCCTCTCAAACCCAGCCGGTTGAAGCAGATGGCCGCTTGTCCTGAGCCTGGTTCTGCTAAAGGTTTCTTCCTCATGAGGGAGTTTTTTCTTCCCACTGTCGCCTTCATGCTCAAGATGAGAGTTCTTTGATGGAGTTAAACTCAAAACAGTCTGCTCCTCAGATAAATAATGTTAAATTATTATTTTTATATATGAATGTTTCTGTTCAGTGCCCAGAGATGACTTCTGTTGTGACTTGGCACTATATAAATAAACTGAACTGATTTAAATTACAAAGTATATCTAGATAGAAAGATGCTATACAAGTACAGTCCATTTACCATTTATCATAAAATATGAAGCTTATTCATTTTTGAATCACTGCTGCGGTAGCTTGTTGGTTGCTGCCACAGTCTTGTAAAACTGAGGTTGAAGGTTCGAGGCCAGGTTGTGTCAGGAAGGCCACCCGGTGTCAAACACTTGCCAAATCTTTCATGCGAGATCACTCATTGTGGCAACTCTTGAAGAAGGGAGCATCCTAAAGGAAGTTTAATCATTTATGCATCATCGCTTCCTGTTTTAATTTGTATTTGACTGAACGCTGAAACATTTTGCGAAACATTGGAGAACAGAACTGATTTATGAGAAATATGAAGAAACACCAAAAACGAGGCAAAAAGAAAAGGACATTGGACACATGGGGAAAAGGTTTATATGAACACTGACTTGTAGAGATCTATAAGGACGAAGAGGAAACTACTGCTGTCTGCTGCTTTAGAGCCATTTTTCACCTCCAGTAGGTCCATCGGTGAGCCGCATATGATGAACACTGTGAACGGAAAAGATGCAGGTAACACCAGAATAAAAAAAATTCAACTTTGCAATTAACACCAGAACCAAAGAGCCGTCATTAATGCCTCCTGTGAAACAAAATGCACATTAAAGCTTTAATTACAAACTTCTGAGTGGGTAATTCATTAAAGTTGAACTCCTATAAAAGCGTGATGCTGCTGGTGTATTCTCAGTTCACTGAGTTTTGTTGGCCGGGAGCTTTTAGTTGTGTCTCACTAACAACTTACAGTTGCTCGTCCTGTTTTTCTGAGGTGTGACGATGTCTCTCACTTCTTCAGGTCTCCGCAGCATCGTAACAGAAATGTTTGTGGCAAACTTTCCGTCCGCTTCAAGCGTGTTGATATACCTGAAGAAGGAAAGACACTCTTCAGTTCAGAGATATTTAACTTTTAGGAGCGATTATAGTTGAGATATAATGTCCGTCATCTGTAACGGCACTAACTTTTTCAAATGGACATTAACTGCAACCAGGAATACAAGTTTACAAAGGCCTCTGTTTCAACATACAAATATAAAGGCAGAATAAAAAGTAAGCCTCAGACGATTGAAAAGAAGTCCAAGTGTGCGTGGAAGGAGCCACAGTGTTTTAAAGTTGATATTACAAGTTCAAAAATCCAGTTTTGAAGAGAATAATTTGAGCTCAGACATTGGATGTTAGTATGACTTTAAATGTGTGATCTCTGCATTCTGGAGGGATTTCATGAAAAACAACAACAACAACAACAACAACAAACTTCAGTCCCTAAGCAATCTGAGACACCCTGAGTGAAAGAAGACAGAAATGGACGCATTTCTAAACAGTATAACAGTAACAGTGTAAAATATTGAAAGGTAGAAGTGCCTGTGCAGAAGAGGTTTGTAAAGATTAGACTGCTCTTGTTAGAGTTAGAATTAGAGATTATCAGGACCCCACCCTGGAGTCAGGCCTGGGGTAGGGGCTCGTCCCAGAATGAGCAGAAAATGATGCATGGATGGATGGATGGATGGATGGATGGATGGATGGATGGATAGATGGTGTTTTAACAGTATGGTCACTGTCAGTCTTGCACAGTCCACCCTTCACAAGAACCAACTCAAAGTTTAGCTCACACAGATTATTACCAGTAACTGAGTTGTTCACACTCAAAGTTCATCACTTAAAAACTCTAGACTGAACTTCACACTCCATACATGAAGTAGTTACCTTTTACTCAATGTCTCACCAAAAACAAACAGACTAAAGTGTTGGTATGCTACATCAACATATGAACTGTGATCTTGTGCGCGTGCTGTCCACTGGATACTACCTGCACTGTCCATCTAAACACACATAAATTCAAGTAGTAATACAGATGTTCAGTTGAGAAAACAAAGACAAAATAAACTAGAGAAATTGTATTTCCTCTGAAAATTCAATGTGAATGCTTGTTGCAGAAGAACTTACTGAAAAACAGCTGAAATTAACTAAAACCATGCTGAAATGTAGCTGAAATGGAACGAGCCTAAATTAGCAGAACAAAGCAGAAAGAACACATATTTGCCCAGTTAGGATAAAAGAAGCAGAAATGAGCACCAAAAAGTTGATCTTATCCAGAAAAGGCTGAAATTAGCAAAAAAAAAAAAAAAAAACAGCTGAAAAGTAGCTAAGAAAAGTAGAAAGAAGCTTAAATTACCGGAAGGAAGTGGAGAAAACACGTTTTTGTTGCATTAGGCTGAAAAAAATAATTAAATGAGTGTAAAAAAATGTGGAATTAGCTGAAAAAGCTAAAATTTGCATGAAAACAGCAAAATAGTAGCATAAAACAGCTGAAACGTGTGTAAATAAGCTGAAAGGAGCATAACAAGCTGAAATTCGCACAAGGAGGCTGAAAGAAGCTGAACCAGAACAAAAAGTGAAAGTAAAAGGTCGTAAACACATCTAAAGATTTGAAGGATGAAAAATGAGCTCAATTCATTTTCTATTAGAAAAAAAGTCAGAAAAGGCTAAATGTTTCAAAAAGCTAAAGTTGCATCAATACCAAAAGTCATAGCAAGACTGTCCTGAAAGAGTTGAACATTTTGATTTATGGGCTGAGAAGTGCACCGAAAAATGTATGGAAGAAAAATGGCTCACAATAGTGTGAACGCTTCATAAACATTCACACAAAAAGCATAATTTCCTCAAATGATTGGGGAGGGGAGTAAATCTAAATATGGCAGTGGCCTTCTTGGATTTTGACATGGCAACCCGTGATCCTGACTTTTCTTACACCTACATGCAGCCACGCCTCAAAGTGGAAGTTGCTACCACACTTATTTTTTAAGTTATGCTCACAACACAGACGGAAGGAGGTTATTTCCAATTCTCCCTCTTCGCTCTGTGACAGGGGAACAAAAAAAACTGTGGGACAGAAGAGCAAATGTAGAGAGGCTTGGTTTTAGTTAATGTAGCAACCTTCTCCACATCAAGTTGTTTTTGAGAAAGATTTTTCATAAGCCTGAAAAATAGAAAAAACAGGCACTCGTTTGAAACTAAAGTATTATTAACTATTTCATAAAACATCACAGCACGATAAAGATAAAGGCAAGAAGAAATGGGTTCAGAATGTTTCTTGCACAAAGTAGCTAGTCTCGTTCACACGACCAATATGACCCGTTAAAACGTTACTAAACTGTGTCCATCTGACAAAGAGGAGACATCTATAAAGTCCAATTAACTGTGGTTATCTTCTGAATATCACTGACCAGAAACAATCCTCTGTGTTGTTCTGTTTCTTGTAAACGTAGGCCGTCTCCCACTGCGGCTTGATGGTGTTTTTGTTCAACCAGAAATGGATGAAAAAGTCTGAGATCTTGCGCGCCGGTGGCAGGAGGCGCTGCAGGTTGAGAGTGTAGTCACAGGAGGGTCCAAAGCTTCCTGCGGAGAGGATGGGCGTCCTGAGGTTCAGACCTATTTCTAAACTGACAAGAGAGAATGTCAACACAAAAACTGTCAAGAGAGAATAAGAAGAAGAGCATCAAAGATTTACAAAACTTCCAGGCAAATTAAGATAAGATGGCCTGTCAAGGCCAGTCAGGGAACCAAATTCAGATAAACACGATTGTTTTGGGAACAGGCAGAACTTTAATGACATCAACCTTGAGTGTGTGTCGGTCCATTTGGTTCCGAAATGTCCAAATTAAATGGCTACACCAATGGACCATGCCTGAGAGTAATTCCCAAGATCTGATCCATCCTGCCAAAAGCATTTGAGTCTGGGGACTCGAGGCACAAACCAAGCCATCACATAAGGCAAAAAATGTAAATAAATACAATTTATAACAAATAAAATTTAGACCTTCTGCTAATGTAATGGTGATATTGCCATATATAAATAAAATGTTAGCTTTAACAGAAACACGAAACTTCTCTAAATGTGCAACATTAGGTACAATACTAACCTGTGGCTATAATTACCAGTAATTATTTAGTTTATTTATTTTTTCTGTTTCATGGTAGAACTCTCCACAAAACTTTAGTGGCTTTTACCAAAATGTAGACTTTATTATTATCATTATCATTCATTAAACCTTTTAAAATATAACAAGTGTTTTCAACGAACATGAGTGCAGTTGATTTAATCATGATGAAAATCATTTTACACTTTTGTTTCTAAGAATATACTAAAATGTATTTCCCAAGAACAAAAAAAACAAAGAAAAACAAAAGACCGAACAAGTCCAAGGAATTCATTGCTTTTTTAAAATAAGGTTATATTATTATAATGTATAATGCAATATAATATAATATAATACAAAATAATACAATATAATATAATTGTTGTGAATGAAGGTTTTGGAGGCAGTACCCAATGGTGCAGGCAGGACTCGAAGACCAGATGGTTAACTGAGAAACAATTTTAATAATACAAAATAAACGAGCTGACGTGGCAGCTAAACTCGTGTACTCAGGAAACATGTAGAAACACAAAGGAACTCAGGATGGTTTACCAGACGATGCCCAGACAATGAATAGCACAAAAACACAGACTTATAAACAGTGACTAACGAGACATAATGCACAAGCTTCACAGGTGTGGGAAAATAAAAGTAATGAGACACAAGGGATCAGAACAGAGACACAACACCAGATGGAGCCATACACTAGGAAAACATGAACACTATTAAAAAACAGAAACTGAGGCTCAGGAGAACACAAGACATAACACAATACAAGATGGGGCTAGACACCAGGAAACACAAACCATAACCCCTACAATAATAAAATGTTTACAAGGCTGTTTCTGTTTTAGATATACAACCTTCTCCACTAAAGTTAGTTAACTTTTGTCCTTTCTCGAAAATATTGCTCACATTGTTGTTGTTGAGAGTATAACAGTTTCACAAAATGTGTTCATTTTTGTTTTATCTTTGTTTCACATTTTTGTGGCCCCTGAGTACTTTGACAATTTTGACCTACATTTGAAATAGTTTGGTCTCCCTTGTACTAGAACTTCAATTTTCAATAGTATGAAGATAAATTAGTCTCAAAAGTAGTCATACATGCATACAAAAGGATTTGTATACCACACATATAAGATTCACAATAGTATACATGTTACAAATGCAAATAAACTATTTAATTTGCAAGTACACATTTCAAATTGCACAAGTAGGAATATGCTGGGCATACAAACTGTCAAATACATGTGTACGAATCATATATATATATACATATACATACACATATACACAAATGCATACACACACACACTAGTGTTTCCCCTATATTACTTGTCTTGGCAGGGTGCTTGAGTCTTCCGTGATTTTTGTTGACCGTGGAAGGGGTGATACATCTCTGTTGCATTCTGTACTGAAAATTTTCAAGCAGGGTGGGGCGGCTCAGCATGAAGGAATTGGAGCGCTATTTCTAGCTTCTTAGCTAGTGCATCTGTATTGCATGCCACTAGCTTAGAACTTTAGATCTTTTTGCAAGATATTCCAGGAAACAGGAGTGGAGTAGGAGAAGGCCCTTTTGCCATGTTCAGTCCTCACTGAGGGAACACTGTATATAATAATGTCCTGAGAGCCCACACTGTAGCTGCACTCACGCAGAGACATGTAGGAGGAGATGTATGAAGGCAGCAGACAAAGAAGTGATTCAAAGATGAAAATGTACCAGTGAAAGAGTCTGCAAGTTAATAATGACCAGTTAACTAGTGAATACAGGGTGCAGTGATGGGTACGGTAATTGTAGCCAGTTGTGAATCTTAGCGCACCATGTTAGACAGCATCCAACATCTGCAGAGTGCTTGTATAGCCGTTCATGTAAATAATATCACCGTAGTCAATGAAGGGAAGGAAAGTCGCAGTTACAAGGCGTTTCCTAGCATTCAGAGTTAAAGAGGATCTATTTCTGAAAAAGAAACCCAATTTATCTTTCAGTTTCCTTACTAGGTTTTCCACGTGAAGCTTAAAAGAGATATGCGAATCGAGCAAGATACTCAAATATTTGTAGGAATCGACAAACTCAATAGGGACACCATTTGAGGATAAAATCAGAGGAAGAACTGCTGGGACCGACTTCCTGTTAGAAAAAGCATCTCTTTGGTTTTGTCGGCGTTTAGGACAAGTTTGAAGTGGAGCAAATCTGACTGGATGATGTCGAAGGCAGATTGCAAAAGTTGGAATGCCTTAGCAACTGTTTTAGCTTGACAATAAACAACTGTGTCATCAGCATAGAAATGTAAGGATATATCAAGGATGCTCTGACCTACATTACCTATGTAGATTGTAAAGAGTGTGGTTCCTAAGACTGAGCCTTGTGGTACACCATTGTTGACTGTTAAATAACTGGAGGAAATACCATTATGTTGAACACATTGCTTTCGATCTGAAAGATAATTAGAGAATCAACCAATGGTATGATCTGAGAAACTGATTTCTGAGAGCTTATGACACAAGATGTTATGATCCACAGTGTCAAAAGCTTTAGACAGGTCTAAGAAAAGTGAAGCACAATAATTCTTAGCATCCAGTGCTTCAACAATGTCATTAAGAACCTTCAGTGAACCTGCTGTGTTGTTTCCTGAAACCAGATTGATGGAGAGGTAAGATGTTAAATGAGTAATTTTTGATTTGAGAGTTTATCAGTTTTTCTAGAACCTTGGCTAAAATACAGAGTTTAGAGATTGGCCGATAGTTGTTCAGTGAGGTGGGGTCTCCTCCCTTCAGCAAAGGTAGAACAAAGGCTGTTTTCCAAGTGCCTGGAATGGAGTTTTGTCTTATGGAGAGATTGAAGATGTGGGTCACAGGGACTGTGTTGATATGAGCAGCCAGCCTTAAGAAATAAGGTGGAAGTTCATCTGGTCCTGCAGATTTTTTAGAATCAAGATCTTTTAACAGTTTATTTACCTCACTGACTGAGAATGGGGAAAGAGAAAAGGTGTCATTTACTCAAGATTGACTTGTAGGAAAGATATGGTTTGTAGAAGTTTGACTTTTTGGGGAAGTGGCTGATTTTTCATTAGAAACTTTGTCAAATAATGAACTAGAAGTGACAAAATGTTTGTTGAAACAGTTCAGGATCTCGTGCTTATTTGACACAGGAACAGAGTTAATGAGAAGTTGTGATGGGAGGTCAGATGATTGGGAGCTGCCAGAGAAAGATTTGATGGTTTTCCAGGGTCATTTAGATTTTTTGAGGTCTGAGATAAGAAATAGTATACGTTTTGTGGCTTTGATGGAAGCTGTGCATTTATTCCTCATCTGTCGAAAACTCAATCAATCAGTGTCTGAGCCAGATTTTCTCGCTACAGCCCAAAGCTGATCTCTCCTGTGAAGAAGATCAGCTAGCTCAGGAGTAAACCATGGGCTGTCTCGTACTTTTATTCTGAAATGGCGAAAAGGAGCATATTTGTTTACAAAATAGATGAAAGTATTTTGAAAATAGTTCCAAGCGGAGTTCACGTCGTCAGTTAACAGAATACGGTGCCAGTCAAAGTGAGATAAATCCCAGAGGAATGACTGTTCACAAAACCTTTTTCAAATCCCTTTTATGAATTAATCTGAGTTTAGAATGTGGAAGTTTCATGTCTCTGAGAGTCACTATTACACAATGATCACTCAAATCATCAGTGAATACACCTGTACCAGGGTATAATTATTATTATTACATATCAGTGCCGGCAGTTGTCGATGGGGGGTGGGGGGGTCGAGGTTGGTTTGATTCAGTAGGCAGGGTGCTCAGTTCTGTTGACAGGGTGGGACGCCCTGCTTGTATAATGGTAGGGGAAACACTGCAAACACTTAAAAACATACATATACTTTATTTCAGCTGACAAGTTTACAAAATTATTTTTTTAAATCCAGTAACATTAAGTGTATGTGTTTTCATATAGAGGTTATGAGCACCTGTGCCAAGTTGTATCTTTACCCAATAACTCATTAAATCTGGTAAGTCTCAGATGTCCCAGCTATAAATCTCGTCTGCTTGTGTGACTAGTTTTGAGACTAGTTTATCTCCATACAATGTAGTCTTTGATGTAGCGCTGGAAAACAAAAAGTCACTTACTCAACGATTGAGAAAGTAGCTAAGGTGCAGGTTGGCCCGAGCACAGCACAGCCAAGCTCGTCTGAAACCTGCAAAAGAACAGCTGAGTGTGAGTTAGTGCTGATGGTACCGATGGGTCAACAGCAAGTCCAGACGCAAGATCATTTAGCTTTCAGCTTGAATTTAGCTTCTGCATTTAATCTTAGCAAAGTCGTTCACATCACATTTTCTCAGAAAATGCATTTTAGACATTTATGTTGTACTTCATGTTGTTGTACGTTGTTTGAGTTGTTTTTACTAGCAATGCTATAATTTTAACATGAGCAAATAGAACGTTCTCCGTCACAGTGTACAAGCTGCATGACACTGAACACAACATACTTTACTGACCCATTAACTCTGCTCCATAGAACCACTCAGTTCATTATCAGCAACCTCTGAGGAATTTGGAAGACAGCCAAGTAGAAGAAAATAGATTATGCGTGTCTAAATGTGTGTGTGGTGGAGGAGATCAAAAGAGCTGTTAAAGCCGTGTCCCACTTGTAATGAGAGGCAGACACAAATGCTAACTGGAAAGTAAGCCTCAGACAAACTGTCTGTGTGAAAATGATCAAAAACATTCTTCAACAAAAGTCAAATGTCAATGTTTTTCTGTGCCTTCAGTGTTTTTTGCAGGTAAGGTAAAAAGACTCCTCACTTTATGTTTTGGAAAGAAAATTTCAGACATAATGGGAGTCAATGAGAGTTTGGATGCTCCCTCTGCACTCGGAGTGGACTTGAGAGAACGCTGCAGGTCCTGTAGCAGTCAGAGGCACATTTAGTGAACCAAGATTTTAAAATTCCTGTTTTGATGGTTTAAACTGTGTAAGATTGTGGAAACGAGACAGGTTTGTTGGCAAAAAACTTTGGAAAGTTTTCATAGCTCCAACATTAATGTGTGACGTCATGATGCTCTGAGTTGAACGTTTTGTTGTAAAATCTTCAGAAAGCACAAAACTTTAACTGGGACCATGCAAAAATCACCAAAAAACATCAAAATACCAGTTCAGTCAGAAAAAGTACAACTTTGCATAATTTTATTACAATGTGTTGTTTTTTTTATGTGAAAGATGCCAATGAAGCTCGTAAAGGGGTTTTCTCACTTGTTTCACTAAAATCGTATTATGTTTGGGAAAAACTATTGACAATTTTAGCTGATTGTACAAGGTACTGCTAACAAAAGCCAAAGCACATTAATCAAACCGCACATTTTTGTGTATATTTTGAGACGAGGAGCAACTCAAACCTCAGAAACTGTAGAAAAGCATTAAAGGTGAAGTAAGTGTGAATAAAAGCTGAAAGCCACTCCTGTCAGGTCACAGAATATAACGGTGGTGCTCCACATTAATGGTGTATCTTAAAAGTGTGTCAGACACATCAGCAGAAAATTGGACGTAAAAATTGCAGTTTACCATGAGTTTGGTCAGCTTCTCCACTCCCTCACAGACGCTGCTCCCACAACCTTTTTGTCTGTAAATAGTTGTGTTGAACCCTTCGAAGTTGGCTGTGAGATTAAAGCCCATTCCTTGATGATAAGTGGGGAGAAAAACAAGAGATTATTTTATTAGTTTTGATTTTCTCTTTGGATTGAAGCCTGAAACTAAGCAACTACGCTGAGTTCTCATTTCAGCTTCTGACTCAGCGCTGCAAAGGAAAATCGCAGAAAGTCAAACAGAGTAAAGTTTAACACAAAGGGAAAGGGTGACTGCTCACTTGTCAGCTGATTTTTAGTAAAACTGAACAAGCATAGAACTGAACTTATTACATTTGTGCTTCATTATTTTTAAACCCAGACCTACGTGTCTCATAGAAAAGAAAGGCAAAACTTGTACATTTTTCAAAATATATAACTAAAGAAATTGCACTTCCTGCAAAACTGCAGTGTGAACGCTTATTGCAGAAGAGCTTGATAAACAACAGCTGAAATTAGCTAAAAAACATTCTGAAGTGTAGCTGAAATGGACAAACAAGACTAAATTAGCAGAAGAAAGCAGAAAGAACACATTTGCCAATTAGGCTTAAAGACATAGCACAAAGAAGTGGATATTATTTGAAAAAAGCTGAAATTAGCAAAAAACTAACAAATGGCTGAATAGTAGCTAAAAAGCAGAAAAAAGCTTACATTACCAGCAGGAACTGGAGAGAGAATATTTTTGCTGAATTGGTCTGAATAAAGTTAAAATGAGTGCAAAAAATGTGAAATTAGTCAAAAAAGCTAAAATTAGCATAAAACAGCTAAATAGTAGCTGAAATAGTAGAAAAGCTGAAACTTGCATAAATATACTGAAAGGAGCAGAACAAGTTGACATTAGCAGAAAGAATTTAGAAGAAGCTCAAAAATGTTGTAGTTAGCAGAAAAGAGCACAAAACAGCTGAAAAACAGCTGAAAGTAGCTGAAAAAAGTTTAAATTTGCACAAGGAAGCTGAAAGAAGCTGAAGCAGAACAAAATGTGAAAGGAGCAGTAAAAGGTTGTAAACAGATAAAGATTTGAAGGATGTAAAATGAGCTCAATTCATTTTCTATGAGAAGAAAAGTGGCAGAAAAGGCTAAATATTTCAAAAAGCTAAAGTTGCACCAATACCAAAAGTCACAGCAGGATTGTCCTGAACGAGCTGAATGTTGACATAGCACAAATATTGTGGAATGATAAAGAAGCTGAAAAACGTCCAGAAGAAAAATAGATCCTAGCAGTGAGAATGCTTCATAAACGTCCACACTGTTCTGCAGCCCAAAGGGCATTCTATTCTCACAATAAACAGTTTTACAAATGATCTATTTTGTAACGGCATATTTCAGATTATTTTTTAGCACTGAGCAGATTAAATCTAATCCGTTTTCCTGAAGAAATGTCAGAGCTTGTTTGATGTGGTTTGGTTTCAAGAACATGTTTTTAAAAACGGTGTTAAACCCCACAAAATAAAAAAGCTAAAACAAACCCTGCAGGAAAAAAAAGCATAACAAAAAGTAAAGACCTATCAGTCCTCATATCACCCGCTGCCCTTCATGTCACACTTTTAACTAAGACCTTCTTATGGTGAAAAATACAGTTAGAACTGCGTCAGTCAAACCTTGAAGAGGTCACTAAACGTTTTGTGCACTTTCATTCAACACAGCAAGATTATATGCAATCAATTAGCACTTGGAGTATGCAATGGGAACCACTCTCAGCTACTACCACACCAAACTTTAGGTCAATAAAATATGGACTGAGTTATAACCGTTTTGGTGTTGGACAAACTGGATAAGCTGTGGTGGCCACTTCATCCATTGATTATGTTCTAAAGAGTTTCAGCAAAATCCATTAAGGGGTCTATGAGTTATTTTGCTAACAGACATCAAGGTCAACTTCAACAGGTAATGCACACGTTTTAAGTAAAGATGTTGTGCAATGTTTCACTATTATAGTAAGTTTTAAAGATGACTCTCAGCCACAACAAATTTTATTTCAGTATCTGTAAAACCAACTAATTTGCAGCCTTTTTTGGGTTTTTAAGTATTGTTTAGCTGTGACGGCCATCTTGAACAGGTCAACTCCAAACGTTATTCAGTTGTAGGTGTACACCTGATGAAGATTTTCTGAGAGTTCCATTAAAGTCTGCCCAGTGGTTCATGGGATATTTTGCTAACAGACAAGATTGCTTCTAATTATTATTGCCAAAGTTTTAGGCAAATATTTTGTACCGTGAGGAGTACTTAGAGTATTTTGGGGGATTACTCTCAGCTACACACCAAATGTTAACTCAACATTGGTAATATTGTCAAAATTATGGACATATTTGTGTTTACTAAGCTCAGTTGGCTGCGGAGGCCATCTTTAATTGTGTTAGCACCAACAATGATTCTAGATGTACTGAATGATTACTTTCTGAAAGTTTCATTTCAACTAATTTCAGCTTGTCGTGCTCCTTTCAACGTATTTCTGCAAGTTTCAACTACTTCTGCTATTTCAACTACTATTTAGCTGTTTTATGATAATTTGAGCCTTTTCAGCAAATGCCACAATTTTTGCACTAATTTAAACTTTTTTCAGTCTAATTCAGCAAAAATGTGCTCTCTCCACTTCCTTCTTGTAATTTAAGTTTCTTTCTGCTTTTTTAGCTACTATTCAACTGTTTTGTGCAAATTTCAGCTTTTCAGACAATTTCCACTTTTTGTGCTCATTTCTGCTTCTTTCAGACTAATTGAGCTCATTTCAGCTCTCTCCACTTCCTTCTGATAATTTAAGCTTTTTTTCTGGCTTTTCAGCTACTTTTGCTAATTTCAGTTTAGCTAATTTATTAAAAATTTGTGCTCATTTCTGCTTATTTAAACCAAATTCAGCAAATAAGTGTTTTTTTTTTTCTGATTTCTTCTGCTAACTCTTCCATTTCAGCTACATTTCAGCAAGTTTTTAGCTAATTTCAGCTGTTTTTCAATAAGTTCTTCAGCAATAAGCATTCACACTGCATTTTTTCCAGAAATACAATTCATCTACTTTCAGCTTGGGTTATGGGATGTTTTGCTAACAGACAGACGTTTTCCAGTCTTTTTCTTACTTTTATTTACTAATAAGCATCAATACACAAAGTTGTGAAAGTTCATTTAAAACATGTTAAATGTGTCAAACTGGGCACAGAGGTGAGTTTCTGTTGCTTCTACCTTCTGCAGCATTAATGGCAGCGTCTTCCTCGATAGCCTCCAGGATTTCTCTTTTCACATACTTCAGGCTCCAGGGAGACTCCTGATCCTCCAGGAGGATCACGTTGATTATCACCCCTCTCACACACTGCCTGGCTCCTCCACACAGAACCACGAGAAGCCCAAACACCAACAAACCCAACCACCAGCTGCTTCGGCTCATTTTCAGCTCTCAGGTCGGTTTGTATATCTTTGAGCTTCTAAACCCCGAGTCCACGTGAAGATGGTTGACCTTTGTTTCAGGTGAAAAAGATCTTCTTTAAAAGGTTTAAAAAGGTTCACTTTATACAAATCCAATCCGGTGTGTTAGTTCTGTCGTCTGCTCAGATTCACACTTCCTATGTTTCTCTGATCTGCCCTTTCCTCACTGCCGTGTTAATATACAACCTTTATAGACACAGGCGGAGTGTTTAACCATCTCCATGTTCTTGTGCAAAGGTCTACATGATCCATAAGCTTCAGTCGGACAAACACATCCAACAGATTATCTTGGTATTAAATAAATGGCATCGAGTACAGTAGAAAACTTTTTTGCTGTAATTTTAGTCTTTGAGCAGATTCTGGGAGAAGTTTTGAGTTTTCCTAAAGCTGAACTTTAAGGCAGGACACAATTTGATGAAAAATGTGAATTACAACTAAGTTTTTGTGTGGCCCATTATTTTGATGATAAGAGAAACATCCATCCATCTATTATCTTTACCCGCTTCTTCCATTTTGGGTCACGGGGGTCACCGGTGCCCATGTCCAGCAATCACTGTGCGATGGGCAGGGTACACCCTGGACGGGTCACAAGTCCATCACAGGGCCACATAGAGACAAACGAGACAAACAACCATTCACTCTCTCACTCACACCTAGGAACAATTTTAGAGTTACCAATCAGCCTAACATGCATGTTTTTGGTCTGTGGGAGGAAACCGGAATACCCAGAGAAAACCCACGCATGCACCGAGAGAACATAAGAGAAACATACTTTCTGTAATTGATATAACAATTGTCGAGCTGACAGTGATGATGGGTGACATTTTATGGGTCTCATCTGGTTTCTTGAGGGTCTGTTTTGCTTCATAATATTTATTAGTGACATCTGAACACACCAGGACGCCATAGGTCATAGATCGATGATAGTCATGTCATCTGATTTACGGCCGTTTGTTTTGGACGCTCGGCTGAAGAGAGGAGCTGAGCTGTCAACTGATCACCACCTGGTAGTGAGTTGGATCATATCATATCATATCATCATTGGACATCGAGTCCGAATGGGCCGTGTTCTGTGCCTCATTTGTTGAGGTAGCTGACTCGAGCTGTGGCCACAAGGTTGTCAGTGCTTCTCACGGCAGCCATTCACAAACTCGGTGGTGAACACCCCGGGTTAGGGAAGCTGTCAAGCTGAAGAAGGAGTCCTGTCGGGGCTTTTTGGCCAGTGGGACTCTGGAGGCAGCTGAGGAGTACCAGAGGGCCAAGCAGTCCACAGCCTTGGCTGTTGCTGAGGCAAAAGCTCGGATATGGGAGGAGTTCGATGAGACCTTGGGAGTATGGGAGAGGGCCTGTTATTACGGACTGTTCAGTCCCTATACAAGTGGTGCAAAAGTTTGGTTCGCATTGCCGGCAGTAAGTCGGACCCCTTCAGGGTGGGAGTTGGACTCCACCAGGGCTGCCCGTTGTCATCGATTCTGTTCATAACTTTTGTGAACAGAATTTCTTGGTGCAGCCAGCGGGCGGAGGGTTTCTGGTTCGGTGGCCTCAGGATTCCATCTCTGCTCTTTGCAGATGATGTGGTCCTGTTGGCGTCATCGTGTCTTGATCTTCAGCTCTCACTGGAGCAGTTTGCAGCCAAGTGTGAAGCGGCTGGTATGAGAATCAGCACCTCCAAATCTGCGGTCATGGTCCTCAACTAGAAAAGGGTCGGTTGCTCTCTTCGTGTTGAGGGTGAGGTTCTGCCTCAAGTGGAGGAGTTCAAGTATCTCGGGGTTTTGTTCATGAGTAAGGAAAAATGGAGCGTGAGATTGACAGATGGATTGGTGCAGCATCTGCAGTACTACGGACTCTGTACCGGTCTGTTGTGGTGAAGAGAGAGCTGAGCTGTAAGGCAAAGCTCTTTGTTTACCGGTTGGTCTATGTTCCTACTCTCACCTATGGTCATGAGTTCTGGGTAGTGACTGAAAGTATGAGATTGCAGATACAGGCGGTTGAAATCAGTTTCCTCCGCAGGGTTGCTGGACTCTCCCTTAGAAATAGGGTGAGAAGTTCAGTTATCTGGAGGAGACTCAGAGTAGAACCGCTGCTCCTCCACATCAAGAGGAGACAGTTGAGGTGGTTCGGGCATCTGGTAAGGATGCTCCCTGTGCACCTTCTTAGAGAGGTTCTTCGGGCATGTTCGACTGTAAGGAGACCTCGGGGAAGACCCAGGACATGCTAGAAAGACTATGTCTCTCAGTTGGCCTGGGAACACTGGTATCCTCCCAGTAAAGCTACAAGAGGTGGCTGTGGAAAGAGATGGCTGGGCCTACCTGCTCAAGCTGCTGCCCCCACAACCCAACTTCAGAATAAGCGGAAAATAATGGATGGATGGATGGATGGATGGATGGACAGATGGATGGATGAATACAAATGAGTTTTATGCTCCATGAACTTGTGAATATGATTTAAAGATTGATTAGACAGGATCTCAAAGTGCAGTCATGGAGAGGAGGATGGCTCTTTTGAGAACCTCAGGGTCTCATTTCTGATTTTTGCAGATGATGTGATTCTTTTAGCGTCTTGACCAAGACTTTCAGAAATCACTGGGGGTGGTTCACAGCTGTCTGTGAAATGGCAGTGATAGGAGTCAGCTCATCCCAGAGTCCAAGGTTCTCAACTGGAAAAAAATAGAATGCCTCCTCTGGGCAAGTCTGGATAAGTCTTTGCCTAAAGTAGAAAAATTCATGTATCTGGGAATCTTGCTCATGAGTGATGGTAAGACGGAGGTGGAAATGGATCAACAGATTGGGAACTCATCCTCAATGATGAAAGCATTGCTTTGGTCTGCCTTGGGGAAAAAAAGTTTAAATTAAAAGCCAAAGTTCTCCATTTACTGGTTTGTCTGCAATCTAAATCTCACCTATTGTCATGAGGTTTGGATCATGGCAGAAAGAACAAGATTCCGGATACAAGTGGCCAAACGGGACTTTCTTTGTTGGATGGCTGGGCTCGGCCTTAAAGTTAGGGTGCAGAGCTCTGGAACTCAGAGTAGAACCGCTGCTCCTCTGCATTAAAATGAGTCAGTTGAGGTGGTTTACATATCTGATTAGGATGCTTCTTGGACTAATTTCTTTGAAGGTTTTGTGGACACATCCTACTGGGAAGAGGCCCCAGGAGGGATTAGATATCTTCTGTGGCCTGGGAATGCCTTGGGATCCCCCAGAAGGAGGGTGAGAGGGATGTCTGGGTTTCTATGCTGGACCTGTTGCCCCCACAACCCAAGCCCAGAAGCCCAGATAAGCAGTAGAAGATGGATGGATGGATGGATGGATGGATGGATTGTAGGCCTATGTAAAACAACAGAAATATAAGGGTTTAACAGTGTTTTCAGAAAGTTGCCAGACCCACTTCACTATTTTGTACAATTCTTTTTCTCATTATTTTACACTCGGCGCATATTGACAAAGTAAAAATAGTATATCAGACAATTTGATAAACATTACAATACATCAAAAACTAGAATATTTTGTTTCTAGAAGTATTCAGAGCCTTTACTAAGTACCTGAAGCACCTCTGGCAGTAGTTCCAGCCTCAAGTCATTCTGTATCACCTGGACTGGAGGATCATATCTGTCATTCTTCTTGGTGAATCCTCTCAACCTCAGTCTGGTTGGATGGGGACTGTTAATGGAGCCATTTTCAGGTTTCTCCTGAGATGTTCAGTAGGGTTTTAGTTAGAATAGTCATCAGGAATAGGGTTGTGCAGGTGATGAGTGGTGCCCAATTCTCCCCCAACATATCGTTTCATGGTGAGGCCCAGCAGTTGATTCTCAGTTTCATCAGAGCAGATAATCTTGTTGCTCACAGTCTGAAAGTCCTTCAAGCAACTTTCAAATGTTTTGCTCTCAGTGGAGGCCCACACTTCTGGTTGTCTGTCTGGAACATAATCTTGGGTCTCTGCAGCTCAGAGTGCCCATCAAGGTCTTGGTCACCTAAGTTCCTTCCCCTTCCATTGCTCGGCTTGACTGGGTGATCAGCTCTCAGAAGAGTCTTGGATCCATTGGATCCATTCAATTAGAAAAACAAGAAGCCTGAGCTCTAACGAGCCTTCAGTGCTCAGTGCTGTGCCTTGCAGCAATCCAGTCTCTGAGCTCTGCAGGCAGTTCCTTGGACCTCATGGTTTGTGCTCTTTGAGGCTTTTTATAGAGTGCTCTGTGCCTTAACAAGTCATGTAGAATCACTAATTGACCACGGGTAGACCTCAACAAGCTGAAGGAGCACCTCAGCAGAGATCAAGAGACATTTGAGGCATCTGCGTAAGAGTTCCAGTGTTTGTCCTCCAGAGATCGCTTTACTCCCACAGCTGGTGCCAATACTTTAATGAGCTCCCAGGCATATGTATATAAGGCAGAGAAAAACTCTCATCCGACGCTGGAGCATTGCCTCGCTTGTGAAATTGATTGACTAAGTGGCAGGGCAGCTGACTCGGGACCCGAAGGTCCCAGGTTCGATCCCCAGTCATTGCACATCTCATGGTGTCTCTGAGCAGGACACCCTATCCCCAGTTACTCCCCGGGCGCTTCCAATAGCGGCCCAATGCTCCATCTGGTGGTGGATGGGTTAAATGCAGAGAGCCAATTTCGCCATTGTATGGGAACATACTATGATGAACACATACACACACACACACACACACACACACACACACACACACACACACATATATGTTCCAGCTAATTATCGTTAGCTTATTTGTAAGTCGCTTCAGTTTTCCTTACAAGTCTTTTGTCAAACAGTAAACGAGATCAGCAGAACTAAAATGCCATAAAATAGCTTTAGCACAAACTGTTTATTTTCTTTTGCTTGGAGACGTTTTAAGAAAACAATTTAGTCTTGGCCCCACCTGGAGAAGCTGTTATTTCTCAAAGCTTCATCTTCATAATTTTTCCAGACCTTCATTTAAAAAAAAAACAAAAAAAAAACT